GTTCTGTAAGGTGTTTAATGCTAAGAGCAGTGCTTGTATTTCATGACCAGCATAACTTCTCATGCAGTGTTAGAACTCCTTCCTGTTCTACTCAGCACCCAGTGTGGTGTTTTCTATTGACAAGGCTATGTGCCTGCCACGTGTAAGGGAAATCCTTGCATTTCAGAAGACACTCTAATTCTGGCTGTTCTTCACTTTAAAAAATCAGGTTGTGCCATTTCAGATAGAGGAAGAATAAATCACAGAATAATACAGATATGTAAGTCATCTTTCCAAGAGTTAAAAATGTTGCCTTGTGATTTTATTTCCTTTATCAACAGTATGGAATTTCCAGTCTCCCTGCTCTTCTGGTGGAGTCACGGAGAATTCTAGGAGCTGAAAAACACTTTCAGAATATTAACACAAGACTGGAAGAGGCTCTGGCTGCAGAGAGAGAGAGATTATCAAAGAAACATTAAGTGGTTTTTAAGGCTTTTTGACATTTGCTAGGAACAGTTATTAGAATGGTCAGTGCTTAAAGTTTGATTACTCATTGTTGCTCGGTTTTCTGTCAGTGTTTAAGAAGTCAGTTATTTCCATATTAGTATTATTGTGCTATTAAAGTAATAAGATGTTGACAGCAATATATACTTTTGAACCAAACACGTAGACTTTGGTTGAACTATTCACAGACAAATCTTTTTATTAAATTTGTATTTAAAATAAAGAATCTTATTTCTGGAAGCAAAGAAATCTGGTTTTACTTGGCTTATCAATAAAACTTGGACCTACAACTAACAAAATAGAAACCATACAGCAGAGAGTGTTAAAGTGCTAAGCTTGGAGCAGCATTCAGGATGAATTTTCCATCCAGTACACTTCAGCCCTGGTATAATCTTCCATGATCTCCTCATGCCTGTTGAAGATGATGCAGGTACTCCACTCTATGTCTTGCAGCTCTGCTGTACAGCTTTTGAACTACATTGCAGTCCCTCTGACAGAGGCACATGGCAGTAAGTGTCATCGCTGGCAGTCTGTTTGCTGGCCAAGCCTGTGGCTTCCTTTTTGCAAGTGTCATCTTTCCTTAAAGCTTCCAAAAGAACTTCATCTGGAATTTCTTCCGTGGCATAATCCAGACTATCATTTGCAGCTTCAGCTAGTTCCACATCTTCTGCAGCTTCTAGGAAGCAGACATCATCGCTTGCGTTTTCCCACTCACGGTCTGACAACAGGAAGTCTTGAGACAAGCTTTCTTCCAGAGGTGCTGAGCTTTCTGACAAGTCTGACCCATTATAATGTGTTTTTATTTCTGTGTTCCCCCTTTCATCCATTGGTGTATGCTGTTCTTCCTTTGAGAAACAAGAATACTATTCATTCCATTTGAAAATGGTTTTTAGACCTTTAACTGCTCTACAAGTTTGAAACTTGTACTGTCACATATAATGGATACTACAGAGAGCTGACCAAACATGACAGATTTTCCAGCATGTTAATTTAGAGCCACATTAACCTGTGGGAGCCTATTTTAATATGAGTAGAGATTTGCTTTTTTTTGGCAACCTACAAGTAGTCTGTTGTGTACAGCTTCTTAAAATAATACAAGGTGAAAACTAACTTTGGTGTCTGATTAAAGATACTGCCAGGAACTGAAGATGCATTTAAATTACACCTTCTATTAAATAACACTAACAACTATAGATGATCTGCTTAAGTAGAGCTTAACCTGCCATTCTGCAGTATGACATTTAAAACTGGGAGGTTAAAAGTTGCAAAACTGCCAACTCTCACTGCCTAAGCAGTGGAAAAACTAGTATGTTCAGGGCTTGGAATCTAGGTGCAGTGTCACATTGGCTTAAATATTTCACCTGTTTGGGGAAATGTGACTAGTTTAATACACTAAAATGGGGGTAAGTGAGGCTCAAATATGAGGGTCATTGACTTATATTTGACTATGACTCAAGTGTTCCGGGAGCACTTCTATTTTAGCTTGTCCATCATGAAATCAAACGTGCACAGGAGAGCAGTTTTTCCAGTCTGCACCTACAGCAGTCTCGTGTCTTATGCATCGGGAACTGTTGTTCACATCAAAACAGAAGAGAATCTTTAGCCCCAGGTGAAGTTAGGTGATAACTTAGCACTGCAGGAGAACTCAATATATGGAGCTACCATAGCAGCACAGCTGCTCTAGGGACATCTTCTATACCAGTGTGACTGGTGTGTGGAGCTCAACAGGCTGCAGTGGTGGGGATGTCCAGTGACTTCAGAGACAACATGACTTGCGAGAACTTTAGCATATGGACAGGACAAAAACATACCTCTTTGAAAAGAGATGGGAGGCATATCCCCGGCGGCAAGGGAAAACCTAGATCAAATATATAGCATCAATTAAAGTTAACATTCCAAAAAGTATTCAGAAGAATTGCTTTGAGATCACAGACTACATACTTTGTGATTTGAAGTTTTTTTCTCTGCAGACAGGATCATGACACTTTTGATACCAGACTTCATTCTTTAGATCTACCAGAATCCTAAGAATGAAATTACGCAGTTTTTAGTGAATTCATACAGTAGGAAACTCTGACAGGTTTTGTGTGTCCTTAACTATGGACCTTGCTTTCATACTCCAGCATAGTTACTACATACTTGTTTTGTACAATTTTCAAAAAACTCAGGCTTCTTAAGTTGATAGACATAGATTTGTAGGACTAACATTTGAAAGTAAAATTTAGTCAACTTTGTTACATTAAGCTTGGAAGAAAAGGTCATTAAAGTAAAATTAGCATATGGGACTTAACTGTAAGATAAGATTTTGTTGCAGCTGCTGTAACAGATAATTTCATTATAAAAGGCACATAAAACCACTGTTTCCTGTCAGCTGCTCAGACCAGCCACCTTCTTCAGCTGTGCTCCAGAAACACCAAACTTCAAGCAACTTGCTTGAGAAACACCAAGTTGAGCTAGTGTAGTTTGGCTTTTTTGAATATCCTTGTTTCTCAAATGCACATTCCTTATCTTTCAGTGATTTTAAATGTCACACAGAATTATTTTTAAGTTTAAATAGTCCCACTAATGATATACTGTAATTCTACTGTAATCTAGAAGACCTGACTTTCCATCACTTATTTTGCTGAAACTGTAAGAAGTTCGAGTCCTGGTAGAGTCACTAGCAATCACAGGAGTTACCATTTTAAATGGCCATTTTGATTACATACGAATGGAATTTAAGATGCACTGGCTGTTTTCTTTATCTTTTTTTTTCTGATTTTTCAGTTTCCTAGCTGAGAAGTATGAAAGCACAGTAACTGCTTAATAGCTTTAACGTACACTGACTTCTATGCTAAGCATCCTTAGGCATAATAGCTTTAACGTACTCTGACTTCTATGCTAAGCATCCTTAGGCCCATGTTTTAAATACCATGAAGATCATTTCATAGAACTATTGAAAGTTTGTTTGGTTTTGTGTGGTTTTTCTTTTTTTTTTTAGTTTGGGTTTGCTTTTTTTTTGTTATGAAAGCATTATATCCTGACAGAGCCAAACAGCAGAAATTTTAACAGGTGCTGATTCTATCCATAAGAGTTTTTTGGTGCTTTTAGAGAAGAAAATTTGCAGAAGAAAATAAATAAAGCTCTTTTAATCTGAATAAAGAACATACATTATATTGTTACTTTTGTGAGCTATTCCGATATTTTCACACCAACGGTAACCAGAAATACCATATACAAGTAGTTCTTTGAGAGAGAAATAATTCCATTGCCGTATCCCTGAGGAAAAAAAAAAAATTGATTCCTTAGAAATACTGCTGCAGAATACTAACTTGTAAATAGTAAATCTGTCTCTTTACCTCCTTGCACCCCATCTTTATTAACCAAGGAACGAACAAAGTTATCAATTTCCGGATACGGTGAACCCTGATAACCTTCCACGGAATCTGTTAAAACAAAGGCCACATAAACACAGTTAGTGGTTTTGCCATTGTAATATGTAACACTCTCACACACTACATAGACCATAGGCAGAAAATGTGCATGAAGATGTACAGTTTAGCACTGGAATGGGCTGCCCAGGGAGGTGGTGGAATCACCATCCCTGGAGGTGTTCAAGAAATTACTGCACAATCTCCACCTTGTCTAGTTGAGGACTAGTTGGACTCTTGGAGGTCCTTCCTTTTCCAACCTGAAGGATTCTGTGACTCTGTGAATTGCACCACATCCTTAACTAAAACCAGGGATAAATCCACTGTTACTTTCCTGTAGATTTTCAAAGTGCTACCCCCATCCCCAAGATGCAGAGGAAACTGGGACAAAGCATGATGGCTATGGGTACAAGAGGGGAGGGTAAATGGCCTTCGGGTGCTGCAGAGCATCCTTCAATACAGATGTCCTCTGCCTCCTGCAGACAGCTAGCTGAAGAAGAGCCCTTCTAGAGGTTATCAGGTGTACACATCCTAGTACATCTCAGTTAAGAGTACATTTCTTTTCAATACAGTAGAAAAGGCTTGAAGTACCTCTGCTGCTTCTGGTAGTGCTACTGTTTAAAAAAGCAGACATTTTTCTCTCCTTTTCTGAAACGCCAGAGGACAGAACTCTTGTGTCATCACTCACTCTGAAGAAAGGAGTGAACACAAAGGAAATCATGAGATTCTTACAGCATAACACAGTACAATATAGCTTACTGTAACAGACCACAGTCTGGTACAACATGACACAGCCCTGGCCCTCCGGCTCCAGGGGTTCCAGCTGGAGCGAGGGGGTGAGCCCAGGAGACCTCCAGAGGTCTCTGCCGTCCTCAACCAGCCCTGGATTTGGTGAGCACCTTTCTCTATCCCTGGAGCGCTTTCTCTGCTGACTTCGGCAGTTTCCCCGACTCGCACCAGAGGGCAGGAGTTCCTCCCGCACAACAGCAACGTTTGGTTCCTGGCCAAAGTCCCAGGACAAAGCCATTTAATGACGGCTGGTCCACGCTCCTGCTCTAGATGTAACATTTATGCAAATACACCCCCCTTTGAAAGATTTCAGGTTTTTTTTCCTGTCTACAATGAACCAATTTTCTTTGCCATATTGCTAGCTGGAAGCCAGATGATCACAGAAGACTAAATTCAACACAGCAGAATTTCTCATCCATATGTATGACAGACTCAGCTGATGCCTATGATCAGAATAGACTACACAATTTATGCTACAGGGTTACTGGCACCACTTCAGGATAATAAACCTTCAGGATATAAAAACTGAAGTCACAGCAAATACATGTTTTTAATAAAACTATTGTACCATCTTAACCGTCTTCCTGCTGCAGTAATGATTAGGATCTTTGTAAGATAGTCTGTACAGGGTATAATGTATCAGAGGTTTAGATTAGATACAGACAATTAGTATCTTGTACATAGCAGGACTCAACTAATGAGGTGTCTGTGCCAAATGGGAAATCTGGTATGCAAGTAAACACATAGAAAAATCCTTTCCATTTCTTATCCTACCTTGGAAAATATTTAGACTTCTCATATTTAATGGACTGGAAATCTAACTGTTGCTTTCAGAACTATACAGAATCTGGCCAAACTTAATAATGGCTATGTTTTGGCATTTTGAGTGTGTACAGAGAAATAAGGCACAACTCAGAAGCTGTACCACATGGTCTGTGTTCTTTAAACATTTGAAGATAAGTTTTAAAAAAAAATCCCAAAAACCAAACAAGAGTCCGCAGAAATTTTTTCTTCAAAAGCATGAAACTCTACTGGGAACTCCTAAATTGCACTGTAACAATGTTAACGCGGTAACTGCCCACTCATAGTAGTTATTTGTAACTGTTGCAGGAGAATTATCGTTAAAATCCAGAATCAAAGAATGTGTCAGGTTGGAAGGTACCAGGATGGGTCATCTGGTCCAACCTCCCTGCTCAAGCAGGGCCACCCTGGAGCACATGGCACAGGATTACATCCAGATGGTTCTTGAGTATCCCCAGCATGGGAGAATTTAAATACATATTTAAATTTAACACATACTTAGAAATATTGTAAATTCCACTGGAATTTTAAATTACCTAATATTGCAGATCAATGAGGAAAGAAAATATGCTTCTTCCAAGGAAATGTCATCTTCACAGTTAGGAACAAGCTCATTATCCTCTGCTATCTTCAGAATCACTTTTTTTCCTGCTTTTGATGATTTATACATCCGGAAATTTCTATTCTTTGTATAAACACCTACAGGAAAACAAACATTTCTTAACAGAACAGTGTTGGCTAGGATTTAAGATACTTAGCACTTGTAAGTTAAATAAATTTCCTCAGACCCAGCTGATGAGTGGATAAAAACTATTACTGACTTCAGCTCACATCCCATAAAGAAATGCAACAAGGCAAGACCAAGCACACATATTTTTATGCTACAGAAGAATTAAGACAAGTGCTCAACACCTCTATGTAGACATTTTAATCATTCTGACATTACAATTGCTAAAGGTTTCCCTTCAAATATAAGAAATCAGTGCTTTTGTGTTAACTTTGTAAACTACAACTGAACATAAAAAGCTGCACAATTATTTTAACCAGAAAGGACATCATATTCATCAAACTTTCTGTGGACCAGACAAACCTGTCTGATGCATGTATCAGGAAAACTTGATTCCAATCTCAAAACCAATCAAGAACAAACAAAAAATGAACAGGTATTTTAAGCACTGCATAATCTTCTAAACTTTTATTGATGAGATGGGAGTTTTATTTGTGGGTTGATTTTCATGAAGGTAAAAAAGAACTTACAGAGGTCATACAATAAGAAGGTCACAGAGCTTTCTGTCACTGCAGCCTCATGATGTAATTCAGTATTCCAGTTTAGCTTTAGCTTTAGCTCCAGTATTCTGAGTTTAGCTTTTCAGTTTTGAGATAATGTAACAAACATTGAGGATGGTTAATTGTGGGGGAACTAACTTAAAACTCTTAAAAGATGACAGAGCAAACAATTAGGTTTTCTTTAATTTCCATTCATTAATATGCTTGAAGGAATTTTGATCAGTAGGTGAAAGTAATCCTTCTGTTTGGATTCAGCTAGGCCATGAAGTGCCCAACCCAAAACGCCTCCTGTAACTGAAACCTAACAGCTGCTCAATTCACACACATAGGGGGCCATGAAGTGCCCAACCCAAAACTCCTCCTGTAACCGAAACTTAACAGCTGCTCAATTCACACACATAGGACAACACAGAAGGCCACACCTGTAAGGCTTGTTCCATAATTAAGCAGCTTCTAATTCAACTGAAATCACAAAAATGCAATATATTATAACCTCTTTTAATCCAAATGAGAGCTCTGAGTCCTTAGCGGGAAAAAACCCAACCTTGTGTGGCAAGAATTTCTTCAAACTTCAGAACAAAATAATTTAATGTAGCAATATAAAAAGTTCCATGGATCAAGAATCTAAAGTATAGCATTTCTGCTCACAATTTCAGCATGTACTGTATTTGGTTTCAATTCTGACCATAGCAACAACAGTAAGAACACTGCTGTTCCTACTGTCTGTAATCAGAGATGAAGGAACATCTCATTTCTTAACCTTTGCTGCATCCCAAAGAGGTTTAAAAGCACTTATATTTACCTAGATCCACAAAAAGTTGCTTGTCACCTTCTTTACCATTTACTATTAGAAAGGAAAAATCCAAATTTTCTCCCTGGTGTGGCGTTTCCATATCCTTTGTTTTGCAAACAATGGCTGGGCAGCTTTTGGAAGCATCTTCAACAGCTCTTAGGTTTGTAGGAGAACCATCTAATCCAACTCCCTCTTCAAAACTCTGGAAAACATGTCCTGCTTCTCCTCCTGGAATCACAGCAGCAGCAGCCTTACTCTCCAGTAATCTTATCGCAGGCTGCAAAATCGTTCTCACAAAGTTACCTAAAAAACCCAAAAAAGGCCAAAAGCAGTTAACATCATTTATGAGTCAAGAAAGAATTTCGGAGTTTCTGTGCGCAACATATTTCAAAACAGCCAAGATAGAAGTGGTTGGGAGTTTAGGGTCTTTTTTCCTCTTCTGGATTTTTAAGAAAAGTCTTTTGACCAGCCCACAGTACGAAACGGTCTGCCCATGCTTGGAAAGAATCTCTAACAAACTTCTCCAAAAAAATCCCCCAAACAGTTAATGAGCTCAGATTTAGGATTCTGAAAAAGCTCGTGGTTGTCCCTCTCACTACTGCCTACCCTAACTTCACTTTCAGAATGACTGAAAATGCTTACTTGCAGTTTCATGGTGTATTCACCGATGTAAGAGTTTGATCAAGGCTTACACAAACAACAAATTGCTTTTACAAAAGTATTTTGTAACTGCTTTTCCAACTCCCAGTACTGTAATTCAGCTTCCATTGTACCTCCAGGCTCTGCTAGATGGTAACCAAAGACAGACAAAAACCAATAGCCAAACTACTTGCAGGGAGAAAGAAGAGAATAGAATAAATACAAATGTGGGGGAAAAAAAGCCATGAAGTGGAAGGAATACTGGCAAGGAGGATTCTGCAGTTGTTGGATGAAGCTTCAGTGGGGAACATGAAAGAGTATGAAATATAGGTTATCCTATGCTATACATCAGTACAATGACTCAGCAGATCAAGCATCATCCTCATAACTCCTACAGGACTCGTGAGGCACAGGAACGATCAGTCACAGGCAGCATTTTAACCCTGTGTGGCCAAATACACACACAGAACTTCTTAGCTGTGCAACAACAGTCACTTGGATCTTCAGCTCAGGGAGAAAATGTGCCTATTTCAGAACTGAAGTTTATTTCGGCTACCACAAAAGTTAAAGAATCTGTAAAAGTCCTTGCTGACCACTGCTTTTTCGTAATTAAGTATCAATCACTGTGGTGTCAGAATAGGGAGGGTTCTGTCAGTGAATGATCATTTTGGGGGTTGTTCTTTATCATTCACACACACCTTTGTTTTCTCTCTTCCCATGTCTTCTAATGGTGAGATGTGGAAACTAAACCCTGCATTTCATACTTTTGATCCTTGACTGTATTTCTTATTTTTGTATTTGTGATTTGTGGACATACATGATCTCCTGTGCTTTCTTAATGAACTCAGTCCCTGTATTTTAATTGTAACTAGTAACTAATTCCAAACATTCTATATTAAATGTTTTTAATCATGTTTAATTTTAAGCCCTTTGGCCACATCTCCTGACATAAAATCTTGTGCAAGAGTATCATCCAGGATGTGATAGTTCATATCCTAGTTTATCCCACATAAATACCACTAACTCATCGTAAAATACTTTTTATTAGGCAGAACACCACAATGCTGAATTTAAAATCAGACCACACTTGCATGTGTCTGAAAAATATATTAACCCTCTTAGGTTTACTATTAGACAAAATCTTTCCATCACATCAAAAAAAACAGATTTTTTTTCCTATAGATTCCCGGAATTTACTTTATGAAGTTATTTGCGTTTTTAGTTATTTACTACAGCAGAGTATTTTGCACAAAGTACAAAGGTAATATGCTTTAACACAAGTTTGTCAAGCAGGTTACTAAAATGCATTAATGAAAAGTCAAGAGTATAAATTACTGGTAACATGCATGAATCTAACACTGACATTTACATATCTCAGTTATAAAAAAACCCGTTTTTACTGTGACTTCAACATCTTGTTGTAAAGGCAAAGGCAGAACAGGAATACACAAGCTAGAAATATAATTTAAGTCTGACAGTTTGTAAACATGTCAAATTCACATCACAGTGGAGTCACAGAACACTTAACCACTGGGCTAGAATGAACAGTTCAAGCTTCTACTGAAAGAACTGACTAATGTAATTTAGCTATTAAGATCACAGGCTAAAATTGCTGTCATACCATATTATTTATCATCCATGTATTAGCCAGGAGTTTACACTGGCAGAGGAGTTAAAAGAGCACCCTTTTGAACTAAAAATTGCAGTAATCTCATTTAAGACTTTGGGGTTTGTAGCTGCTACCATGCTGTCACATAAGAAATAATTGGTTTTTTTAATGTCAGAAAAAAAGCTGGGAAAAAAATCCTCTGTTCTGGAACTACTCTCTCCTCTTTGTGTTGGAGTTAGGACCTGAATTTGGCCTGAAGTGGTGCTTAGGCCATGGACCACATGTGTATACTAAAAAATATTTTGGAAAAAACATTGCACATGCATGCAGGACTACAAGATCCAGCCTGTCCTTGCAGTTTGCTCTACTCCTCCAGCTGTTCATGCGGACAAGACCTTTCATAGATCATTCCTCAGAGCAACATAAAATGTGTCAACCCTACACCACTTTGATCCAAGAGTACATGAGATCTCCCCATGAAATAACTAGACAATTCAAAAGGAAAATCAGATTTTCCCTAATGCTATACTGGGCTAGACAGAAGCCCAGCACTGTGTCATTAATGACAGTATCACTGTGCTGCTGTTAAGTAAAACAGCAAGAGCTCATCTTCCCTGTGTTCTCAACAAGGCCCTGCTACGTCATACACAGTGCACAGTAAGAAGCTACTTAAAAAACACAAGTGGCATAAAAAAACCAGAAGAAATACAATATAAACTTTACTCACAACTGGAATGAGGGAGGATACAGAGCTAGAAAAAGAAGTAAGGGTGAGACAGGAAAAGGAGGACTGGGCATGAAGACAGTCAGACAGATTGAGACCAAGACAGCAGAATAAAAGTGGGAAACTGAATGGGATCAAAATTTGGAACCAATCATCCTCAACCCTTCCCCATTCTACTGCCAGTGGAAACCCAGTAACAAAGCACATAACTTTGTTCAATCCTGCTGCTGTTGTCACAGTTCTTGCTGAACACAAATGCTAGAGCTAAATGTCACAAATCTAGATTTCATCCCTTCTAATAACCCATGAGATTATTATCTCTGTATAACAGCAGTTCTGCTTCCTTCCCTCACTTTGTTTATTGAAACAAAGACTACAAAATTAAACACTCAAATATTAAGAAATGACAAAACCAAGGCTGTGGGGGTGATGCTAATTAATCCAAAGTTCTACATTTGTAGGTTGATACAGGCTTTAATTCCATCACTGGGCAAGCTGTTTTCCATCAGTTCCTGCTTCACTATGACAAAAGTCAGCTGATATTGTGCCCTCATTGGTCAAAGTATGTCTCTAAGACTGCTGTACTGCACACCACAGAGAATATATAGATACAAGAGGAAATTGTGAATTTCAACATTAACTTTTCCTGATGTTCATCTGTGCTTCACAGACAGTACTTTAAAAGTATGTTCAGAATACTTCTCTTAGGTGAGGAAGTATTATTATACTTTTTTAAAATAGAGTCAAGACAACCCTGAACCAGCAATTCTTTGTGTTAGAGTTGCCATATCCCAAGAAATTCCAAATTCCATCAGCAATAAAAATTGCTTTCAGCATTCTCTTAATCATGTTTATGTACAGGTGGTTTGAAATCATCTTTGTCCTGCCTTTCTGACCCTGTGCTGAGCACAAATGAAGTGTATTTCGAGCAAATAACAGTAGCTTTAATTGTTAAGACTGACATTAACCTGAAAATTAAGGAAGTCAAAGACTTGGCATTTCACAGGAACCAGTCTTGCCAGCAGTTTTGTAAATAAAACATACAGGCACAAAAAGTTACGTTTTTGCAAACATACATGTTAATTATAGGAAAGGGAAGTAGCAGATGAGAAAAAAATGAGGTTTAATGAAACTGATAGTAATTTCTGCCGGGAATAGATACTTGTTTCCAAATACAATTCCATTGAAACAAAAATTCAAATGTGAGATTGCACTGCACAATGTCAAAACCTCACCTTTTATTTCTAGGTGTAAGAGAAAAGAACACACTTACCAACATGAATATTATCCTTAAATACAGTCTTTTGGGGAAGAAATATTAGGTGCCGACTAAATTTTTCATCAGTACTGGAATCTAAATTCAAGACATCTTTAGTTGAACAATTTACACCATAAATTTCCTTTAATTTCTGGCTGACAAGCTGAAATTACAAACATCAGTTCTGTTATTTTCTCTAGCATTTTTATTAGTGGTATCTATAAAACTTGACACAAATGTAGATTCTACATTTTTTACAAGCTGTGTTGGTTTTGGGGTTTTTTTTCATTTTGAACATACAAATAATGTAATTCAAACCAACTCATATCGTGTTTTAACCAAATTTGACATAGACTGTTTTCCCTTAAATATGCGAGTCACTGAATATACCAACAGTGATAAGCTGAGCAGACTTTCCGTTTTTCAGGTCAAAGTCTAATTTAGTGGCTTTATCATCCACCACACCCACACTGACAGCATTTGTAATGAAGGCTTATCTGGAATGGAGGATGGAGCTATCATGACATAAAGGGTTGGTGAGCTAATTCAGTGTTATGATTTAGCTAATTCATTGGTATGACCTAATGAACACTAACTAAGCAGAAAACATAAGATATTTGGTTCTAAGTCAGCTCTAAAAACCTTCTGTAAACTAAGCTAGTGATTACTAATGATTAGGACTCAGGATCTAAGGGTCTGGAAGCTTCAGGTTTCAGCAGCTCAGACCTCCCACCCAGCAAATCCTTAACCTGAGGGATCTCTAGATTTCAGAATTGCTCCACAGTGGAGTAAAGCCCTCCAGAGTCTGTATCAATGATGTGTTCTTTATGAAGGAAGGACCTCAATAATCTTTTCCTTTCTTTCCTTTCTAGCTGGGACATGTAAGTGACAGAAGCCTCACAAATAAATGTTCACTCACTAAGATTTTATTGAAACAGAAGATACTCTTCTAAAAACTTGCCTTGTCTTCCACCTCTGTCACATTGAACTTGCAGTGGAGCTCATTTTCCAACCAAATTTGCAATAAAATTGAAACTGCACTACTTAATACAATTGATAATTAGCAAAGGTACCAAATTGAGAAGTGCAGTCACACAATACTCTCTACATCATCATTTTACTTGTCTATAATGACCTGTCTTCTGAAGAAACAAAGTCAGGAGGGATGTATCTAACACTTGGTATCTGAGTGGACAGGCTGGCAAGGAGAACCAACTGAGGAATACCTGAATTGAGCACTCATTGATGTTAGTTTAAATACCTAAACATTCCTTCACTTTTACAGCTTTGAAATTACAGAGCACATAATCTCCAAAAGTAAACTCATCATATCAGTAAACCTACAGGGAATACAAATATTCCAACAGCCATTATTCTTTATTTTTTCCTTTCTCTTAGAGAACCTTTCCTTTAATTAAAACAGTAATTTTACTTAATCAAAAATAAACACTAGGCCTACAATTCTTTTTCATCTTATTATAGCAGAATCAAAATAAAGTGGTACTTTGGTTTCATATTAAATCAACAACAAATTCATATTCATTTACAACATGACTTTGCTCCAGTTTACCTCAATTAACTTTGCAACCATACCCTTGCCATCTGCACCAGGATTTGCAGGTTTGTAGAACTCCAAATCGAAATAAAGTTTGCAAGCATCTTTTTCAGGAATTACTTCATAGCAATGCATAAGACTTGTTTTGTAACCTTTTCTAAGGAAAAACAAAAACAAATCACAGCCTCTCACGATAAACATTACATGTGCTTATCAGCTGCAAACAAGGATTCCACAAGTCTAAAATAATCTTTCATTTTTCAGCTAACCGTCCATATTAAAAAATGTAGCAGCCCTATAATGCTTTGAAAAATTTATAACTAACTTCAGCATCAAATATCAACATGGATTATTTGTCTGGCCTAGAATTTAATTTTGTCAACAATTCTCCTCCCCATGGTATATAATGAGACTATGTAGACTTTTTATATAGACTTTTTTCTAACTATAGTAAAAAAAATCTCATTTCCAATTTGAGAAAAAAAATCAAGCTTCTCATATAAAAAATTGACTCAGATTTCTTTTACTTCATAACCAACTGTTTTATTGTAAACTCCCCAAAAATCATGGAAAAAAGTTGAGCATATGATCAAATTGTCAGTACTTGGAAGTACACCATGCAGATACAAACCAACAAATCAGTAAAACCAACCATCATATTAATGCTCATCAAAACTGATATATGACTAATCACAGAAATGTTGTTTTTGTCATGTACTGGTATGACCCCCCCCCGAGGAAAGCTGACAGCAAAAGCAAATCTACTGCTATTAGAGTTAAGTTCAGCGGAGTCCTTAACTCACAGGAAATAATGGCAATCTGCTACTCCAAAGAAAGTTGAAACCCACTATAGAATGTATTGTTTTGTCCTTATGAAGAGTTTTTCCCATGGCCAAGGTGAAGCCTCAGACAAACCATCTCTTTGCTAGTCAGAGCAGCAGGCAGACACGAGATAGCTGTCCAGTGACAGCTCTTATTAGCCAACAGGATATCCAGTACACCCTATCTTTTGGTAACATACAGGGTATGGTTTCACATACTCACGTGTAATAAAACCAAAGCTCCTTATATGTTGTCACAAGGTAAAACCTCTGTCCACTCTGAGTGCTCTTTTCCAAAGCAAATACATGAACATCCTTTTTAAACAAAAACATTGCAGGTATTTTTTTATTCAAAGAACCAGTTAAAATCTTCAGAAGTTCCTATTTGACACTAATTTCTTTGGTCAAAGGTTAGTAAATACTAAAGAATTGTAAGTAGATGACATCATTTTTCAAGCTAAGTAGAATCTGGTTCTAATTTAGAACATCATCCTGATTTCAGTTACATGAGTAAAACTTTGAAGCTTTTCTTTATTGTGCATTAACATAAATTCTGTTTTTTTCTGTAAAGTCTTTTTCTGATCAGTGACAAGTGCACCTAATGGGAGGAGGAACAATGTCCTGAAAGGAGCAGCCTCCTGGACACGATGGCTGTATATGGTTTATGGTAAATGTTCTTTAGACTCCATGTCATTTAAATCAAAAAATGGAAATCTGAGAGGAAAACACAAAAAAACCAACAACTGCCAAGCCAGTAAGAATGCATTTTGGAAAACAGACTGTCGGGATTACTTACATACCTAAAACAGTGTGGAAAAAAACAGTACTTTCTTTCAAAACAGCAATCAATTTGAAAAATATTAAACTGAGAACAGATACCTTTTGCATTTGGCTCACTGCTGCTTATCACATCAACCTGCTACAACTGCAGAGTTATTTTGCTTCTGCCTCCTGTTTATCTCTTTCTTTCCCATTTTTTAACTCTTTGTTTTTCTGACTCAATTCTCACTACCTTCCCAACCTCCTGCCAACCCTGACAGCTTGCTCATTGTCAGAAGGAACAAATTTATCACTACAGTGTTACCAAAAGGCATTTTTACTGTTGGGGTTAATATGGCACATGAATTTGTATGTTAGAATCAGAACTAATACGTCTTAGAGGTATCTCTGGTCCAATATGATCTCCTTCAAAGACAAAAAAACCCCAACTTGCTGTTTAAGGATTGGAAAGAAAGGAAAACAAAAAGAAAAGACCTTGCAATCTGATTAAGACTTTACTGTCAATCAAGATTTTAAGTGACATTCAATTCTGAAAGTACCTAAAGAATAGAGACATTCACCTAACACATAATATACCTCTTCGCAGGATTTTGCATAATTAAAAGCTTCAGCCTGGCGAGAAAATATTTTCCAAACAGAGGATGGCATAGAGGGTTTGGACAGTCTTGGTCTATAAACTGGAGGAAGAGGATTTCTTTCATAGTGAGATGCTAGTTCTTCCACTTTCTTTAGTCTTTCTTCCCATTTTCTCTTCATTTCTCCTAAAACAATTACAAATAGTCAAATTAGTATCAAGTTCTGTTTGAGAGTTGATTTTTATTTTAATACATCCTATACTCATCCCTGCTTTTGATTCCAGTTTTGTTGAGTGTACTTTATCAATTAACTGGGAGTGGCCAACATTCCTAAACAACACCCAACCTTGCCATGACACTCATTTTAATATTAGATCTATCTACACTGTTTTGGAAGTACAAAAGTTTCATATTAACACTATCAAAGCTAAACAGAAAAAACACAATAAGGGAAGGTCTAGGAAGTTTCATTTTTGTCTACAGAATGGTATTACATTCCTCCTCAAAAAGTATACAAATCGTATTAACTGTCCACACAACTTTAGTCGGGAGTGAAAAAAACACTATTATTTCTGCTTTTTGGCTGGGGAGACACACGAGGTAATTCATTTGTATGGGCAGTACAGCACTTGAGATCCTGAGAGAAATTAAGATTTCGGTGACTAGCTCTGGGCTCTGTACCTCAAAGTAAAAGAACTGAACTCCAAAATGAGGGCTCCATTCTCCACTGCTGAACTTTGCTACTGATCAGTAATACTTTCACCTGCTTTAAAATCTCATGTAGTTTCTCCAACCTGAAGATAGCAATCTTATCTCTCTTTTCAAGAAATAGCACTGTGCAGTAACACTTGCTATCTTGCAATCTTTAAAACTTCTACTTACATAAAGTAATCCAAACACTACGGAATAATGTAGTAAAGCATAAACACACATAGATACAACTATCTGTAAGCTGAACTCCTGCAAATCAGTAAAAAGCATTGCTAAGAAACTGTGAAATGGGAAGTGGGGCAAGAAGTAACCAACATGAAGGGGAATCGTTTTGTTTTGCCTAGCATAACCACTTGGTTCTCCTAACAGCCTCACAGCTGCAATGAAAGCTAAAAATGAAACTGAGTATACTCAAAAGTATTCAAACCTTTAACAAACTGGATCTGCAACACGAGTTCAAGCATCCAAATATTCTTATGGGGCCCTGAAGCCCAAACTATAGATCCTCTGAATCCTCCAAGTTTTCCACAGCAAAAGTTTCTGGACAGTTACATTTCTGCCCACTGTACATCTAAGCCTGCTTGTGTTTTGATAGTTTAGTGCCTATGCCAAGTTTAAATAGCAGAATGTTTTTTCTCTAACAGGGCTCAAACATATTATCTCTATAGACCTTATCAGTCTTCCAACATGTGAGTTTCCTCCACTCCCTTTTTGTGCAATTAATTTCTTCTTTGTTACATTTTCAAAGTCAGCAATCAGCATTTCTCAGAAGTGCTGGCAAAACCCTCAGTTTCACTTTCATGCTTTTGGATCTGTTGTAAATCAATTGGGCGGAAGGGACGTTCCCTAGATCAGCACATTCACACGGTGATGGGACCATTAAAAAAGGAAAGCGAAGGAGAATTCCCATAATTCTCCTTCTTGAGCTATCTATCCAGATATATCAGACCATATTTTTGCAGAAACACAGCTGGGAGGATATCTGAACCTGAGAGAAGGTTGATGACCCTTCCTTTAAACTGAAATCTATAACTGTTCCTGCAGTCCAACACATCAGGTCTTTCCAAGGTAACTTCATTTCTTGCACAAACTATACCTAACACAACACAGAGCATATATGATTCACGCTTACAGACCAGCCTTCTGAGTTCACTGGGAAATTCCCACTCCATCTTCCTCTCTTCTGTCCCAACAGCAGTAAGGGGAGTACTTATTTTGATTTTACTTGACATAAAGAAGTTTTGTCACCAACATGTTTGGACTTCAGTGTTACTAACTGGGCAGGATGACTGCATGGAGAGCCTGGGAAAATGTCTCCTGAGAGATGAGTTGAAGAACTTGCTATTTCATCGTCTCTGTTTGCTGTTTAGTGATGAGGACAGTGGACATCTTTTATTTTTATACTGGTTATATGGCTGGTTTGAGCATTTTTTTTGTTTGTTTATTGTTGGGGTTTTTTACTAAAATGTAGAGACACATTATGATGAAATAATGTGTCTGTGTCTTTTGACTGTAGCATGAGGAAGAAAATTACCATTTCTGAAATTGCGAGTCCGTTTGTTTAAAAAAAAACAACGCTAACAAATCTGTAATGATTATTACAAAACACACTCTCCACAGCTGCTGAGAAATGGACCTGAGACATGCAAATCAACTGCTACTCAAAATAGTGTGATTACACTTATTTTCTGGCCAGTGTGTATAATGCCACATAGCTCTATAGTAGAGCTCATGGTCCTCAACCATGAAATCTATGAGATTTTCTCCCAGCTACTGATTCAGCCTTAGAGGAAGGTGTTAAATAGTGATCACCTAATGTTAAATTTCGTAATGTTAGTGAAAATCAGCTTAGCTATCTCTCTGTTGAGCTGACCTGTGGCATACTGACAAACACTACTCATCCTTCGACAACAAGGAGCGTCAAATTTTCATTGTGCCCTCCTAATATAAGTGGGCTCTACAATTAAGATTTGAGGAATTCAGTGCAAAACTCAAGTGTGTCAGACCTGGTGATGAGACCTCAGAAAGCGAGTTAGAACCTGTTGTGAGAAGCTGTAAAACATAGTCTCCAATATTAACTTACTCCGACTTCTGCTACTGAAGGTCAATGTACAAATATCAAACTAACTGACCTGAAAGCTGCTGCTGACGGCGAACAGCCCTCAGTTTCGCGGAGCGGCCGCGCGGGGCGAGGCGGGTCAAGGCCGGGCGGGGGGGACGCT